TTGGAACGTTAAACTAAAATTCAAGTATTCTTCTTAAGACGTATGTCGTCGTCGTCTTTTTTTTTTTTTTTTTTTTTTTTTTTTTTTTTTTTTTTTTAAAGTAAATGCAAAAGTATAAAAATGTTATAAAGAAAACATTTGCAATGTTTAAAATAAAAGTCAACAAAATCGTTGAAAGCTCGGTAGGCTGAAGCCGAAGATACAAAAATCATAACATTTCGGCGGCCAATGAATTCCAATTAATTTTAATCTGCATTTCAATAGATTTCTTGCTTTATCAAGCAATGAGAAGTCAAAAATCATGTGGAAAACATTTTACTGAACGCTAAGATTGCAATAACACAAATTGGAAGTCGTCAGCTTAAACCGTTCAAGATAAACTTTAAACTTACCGTGTTCAGACAAAAACTGCGTAACTTTAAAATTGAGCAACAAGTCCTTACTTTTCAGTCTTTCAAAAATAGTTGGGAAGAATGTTTTTGTAACAGATCCCTTATAAGAAGAGATATAATCAGAGTTCCACTGCTCAATCATTTTAGCTTTGAATGTTTTTTTGAAATAAGATTTTGGATTTTGGAATATTTATGTCAACATTAATATCATTTTTAGTTGCATTCTTAGCAAGCCAATCAGCTCTCTCGTTTCCATAATTACCCGAGTGATCACGGACAAATGTAAAAAACACTGAAATACCCTTCTTCTCCAGATCTCCGAGAGACTGTTATATATTAACAATAATATCATTGCATGATGAGGTATTTGTAAAGGATTCCAGGGAAGAGAGTGAATCCGTTCAGATTAAGTAGCTGGAACCAGGTCCATCCTGGCTAAGTGTCCGCTTAATTGGAAAATTAATACACAGAAGCTTAGAAATCTATACAATACATTCATTTCTAATACGAAATTGGTGGTACTCAATTTCAACATCATCTTCAAAAATAACATAAGCAAAACCAACTTTATCATCAATTCTACTACCATCCGTATAGAACACAAGTGAGAATGAATTTACATCAGTGTCCATACTATCCAGAATCTGTACTGGTTGTCTTACAGAAGGATGTGGAAGAACAGACAAGGGCAATAAAGAATTAAAATGAGAACTGGAGCAGTTTGCAAGAATATTCTTGTAATAACAGGTCAGAATAAACAAATACGGCAAGGGAGAAAACAGCATTGTAACTAATAGTTTGGTAACCCCTTATAACACGCAGTAAAATTCGTCTTTAAACTCGAAGCAGGCGATTAGAGTTAATTTTCTTTTTTAAAGACAATCCCCAAGCTCTACATCCATATAAAATAAAGGGTACAATGCCTTGTTTATAAATAATTGCACTAACATTCGATTTAACACCAAAACTATTACATACAATTCGATTCAGCCCTTGTTTATAAATAATTGCACTAACATTCGATTTAACACCAAAACTATTACATGCAATTCGATTCAGCCCACGCAGAAGTCTCTCATATTTATTAGACATGTAGGAAATATGTTTTTTCCAGTTTAATTTGCTTGTCTAACAAAACACCTAAATATTTAATTTCATTCACCCTCTCAAGGGGATTATCATTTAAAAGCAATTGATATCCTTCATAAGTAGTATTTTTTCTATCAATAAACATGGTCTTGGATTTTGCATGGCTAAAGTTTAACTTAAAATCTATTGACGACTGATAAATGAAATCTAAAACATCTTGGGCCAGATGAAAAGCTTTATGCATTTCTTTTCCTTGAACACCACTGAAGAAAAAAGAAGACAGATACACCTGACATTATTCACATGTGGAACACTGAAAGTTTGTTTCTTGGGTATCACAATAACGAAAGCGTTCTTCCAAGTTCGTGGAAAAGCACCAAGATTCAAACATATATTAAATAATCTATGAAAAACTGCAGGAAAAAGCCGATGAAAGTATCTTATAGTTTAATTGGGAATAGAATCCGGCCAGGAGCCTTACCAAGCCCTAAATTACGAATTACATCATCAACCTCGGCCTGCGAAAAAGGAGGATCAATCTGAGACGCATATTCACTGCGAGCAGATGAGCGCCACTGAGTATGAAAGTCATTATCAAAAAAACCTCGACCAAGAATAGCGTCGATAGTTTCCTCCAAGGAAGGCGTAAAGTTACTGCTTGGTAGTCGAAGGCCCGAGATCTCCATCATCCTCATAAAATTTTCTACCGTTAAGTTAAATATTTTAGTTTTTCTTTTAGTTACGAGTTTATGTATTGGGTGAGTGAGTTATGTGTCGTCTTATTATTTTTTGTTTTCTAACCGATTATGCTTATGATTTTCCTTATTTTGTTTTGCGTGAGTGTATTTTTAAAGATACACAATCTGTGTTAATCTGTATTTTAATCTTTTGTTTTTCTAACCATTAGGCCGATTATTATCGGCCAGGAGAGTTGCAGCATACTCGTAAACTAAACTAAACTAAACCGTTAAGTGTAAATTTTTTTTCACATATTCTTATTAATGATATCCGAAAGAAACTTCCTCCAAGACTCTAACTTAGCCTCAAGAAGCATTTCATTGTATTTTTTCATTAAATCAAGGTATTTCCGCTTATACAAGTCTCGTATATCATTGCTAGTAGTCCTCTGAAACCTCCGTCTAGCAGCGTTGACTCTTTTTCTCATAATGGAAATCTTAATTTCCATTATGAGAAATATGTATGTCAGATTTGAAGTAAGAGTATAAAAATTACTATAATTGTATAATAATTACCCTATAATTGCCAGTTGTATTTTCTTTGCCACTTTAATGCCAACTTTCTGGCTAGAATTAGGCTATGTCGCCAACGTCTTTTTGAGCTTGTCCAATTACAAAGTAAGTTAGCGGCATAGTTATAGTAATAATAATAGATCGTGTATTGTGCAATTGATCCTGATTCTAGCCAGAAAGTTGGCTACAGCCATTAAAGTGGAAAAAAAAAAAAAAAAATCTGAAATGTTTCAGATTTTAAATTACGTCCAAAGGGGCGTTTTTTTAACATTTTGTGTGTTACCTTTCTTTCTTAAATATCATGTTCTTCGCACTTAAACCATAAGATCCAGTGCAACAGCAATATCGCAAAATAGTTTTAAAACGAGCATATCTTTAGAATTTTCCGATACAGAGACTCACGCGCTGGAGATAAAAATGTTTTTTTCTGCACAACGTTGCCATTGCTCGCTTTGAAATCCTTGAGTTTGTTAATCAAAAATTCGTCAAAGTTTTAAAAAATAGGAAATCGATCATAAAACAAATTTCAGATTTCAAATTTGGTCTTCCACATGCTCATATTCGTTGGAGGATTACGTTATTCAAAATTCGATGACTCTATGTACCGTTGTTTTATCACAATACGAGAAATATACATACATTTATGCAGATTTTTCATTATTTAATTTCTTCAAATATAATGCAGGACTCTAACATTTTGTGGCAACAGTTTGAAAAGTGAACTGACATTTATGAGTCCGACGCAAAATGCCAAAACGAAAAGGGACTAAAAAAAAAAAAAAAAACACTGGCATTTATAAGGTAATTATTATACAATTATAGTAACTGTTATACTCTTACTTCAAATCTGAGCATCAATGACACCACGAGCGGTTTCTTGAGGCCTATTTTTATGTTACCTGATAAAAATTACCGAAACATGGAAAAGATGTACACTATTAATAATTTAATACATACTGAATAAAAAACATATACGTTAAAAAATTAATTAATTTTAGGCAAAGTTCTAGCTTTTAAAAAAAAATCTGATGATTTTTTATACCTTTACTGGTATTTTCTTGTTCGTGAGTCCACGAAAAATTTCCAACTTATTGACGACTTTATGAATTAGAAAGAAGTATTTGTTCGGCTAGAAGAACAGCGTTAATATTCATTATTTACGAGTGTTTACGTCTTATAACTTTTATTCTGTTCATAAATAATAATTTAAAAAAACTTTTTTAAGAGGAGAGAAATTTTATGTGAAAAAATAAAAATCAATATTCCAGATATTTATATTTTACAGCGGTAGATATTGTTCACCGCTGTAAAATATAAAACGCATATAAAACGTACAAATCGATATGAACTAAAACATGTGTACGATAAGCGTATGCGGGGTTGTCTGTTGTCTCGTGTATACCATGAAACTCGAAGAAAACACGAGTTACAGAAAGTAAATCGAAGTACTTCTTCATTATCTAACTTCGAATATGCATGGTGTACACTCGAAAATGCATAAAAAATAGAGTAATTCTATCGAATTGAAGCAGATAATTAGAAAGTATCTAGTTATTTCAATTTACTAATTTTACATGTATTTGGAATTTTAATATATCAGGCATAATATTTATGGCATTTAATATTTGATTAAAAAAGTGTAAAATATTAATAATTTTCATAAATTATTAAATTATCACTCATTAGGCTCTTGATAATTATTTATGAAAAGTTATTCCGTTTTCTTTTTAAAAACTGTAAATAACACAAGTCTTCAACATGAAGAAAAATTAAAAAAAGAGAAAATAAAACTATGTCTCACTGTTTAATGTGCAATAATTCAAAATAAGGATTCCTTGAATACAAGCAATATAAATTGCACACATATCAGAGTACTTTCTATCACTCTCATGGCTGATGCCACAGACATTTATTGAACTTTAAAATATATGCGTTGAAAGGTTAACGTGTTCCATCTATTAATATTATTGTATCTATGGTTACCTGAGAAGGCAGATTTCTATTTTCAATTTCTATCCACTTTGAAACTGTAATGTTAAAAAAGGTATTATTCAAATAGAAAATATTTTTAGAGAAAAAAAGAGGAAAGTATTGTTTTAACTCATTAAAATAATGGCTGAAAAAGAAGCAAGAGAAAGTTTGAGCATTGAAGAACAGTTCAATCAAAAAACATAAATTATCACTATGCAGATTATTTTCTTCACGTTCATATTAACTTTATACTTCTAGTCTCGTTTTGGCGATTTCTTTTAAGAAATAAGCAGTGTTATTACTAGAACATTCTTTCAAAAAATTTAAACGGATCAAAGTTTAAATCTTTTATTATTTTGCAATTCCTGATAAAAATTTCTTTCAAACATGAGCAAACCTAAAGTATTGATGACTAGAGTAGATATACCTTCAGAAGCTATTGAAAAAGTGAAGGAGAAGTAAGTAATGAAATATACACCATTTTTAACGAGAATTTAATTTCCTTTTGTATAGTAAGAAAATAATATACCATTTTCTTTAGCCAATTTTCGTTTATTGAAAATAAAAACTGCTTTGCTGCAACAAGGCAGAAATAGGCACAAAATTTTTTTGAAAACAAAATCAAAATTAAGAATCATTTAAAAATATTTTCTTAGTTTAAAATTTTAACGAAAATAAAAATTACATTTGCTAGTATACAATATTGAGCTTTCATAACTGTAACACAGATAATAAATAAAATTAGTTTTTGCACCTATTTTCTAATCCATATATAATGAAAATGATGCAAAAACATAAATAAATTTTAAAAAGCAGAAGTAGGTAAGATTATTCCTTTTGGTTTCTACTCATATTTGTCCATTCTTGGCGGTAATTTAAAATATGAACTAAAAACTGTAACATATAGCATGACAGTTAAAAAAAACATAACATTAATTAATAAAAGTATACAGAGATACATTTTTTTTTTTTACTTAATGTTTCAATTTAATTCTTTGACATTTAACGTCTGTCATCATACGATGTTATCACATTTCTTTGTCTGACTGTAATAAAGAAGAACATGACAGCCGTAAATATTGGAAATATATACTAAAATTATCTCATTAACCATAAACCAAATTTGATTAAACTTCTGTTGAGTTTTAAAATTTGTGATATTTGGCCTTAATTACAGGCAGGCGGTAATCAATAAAATTTGGTAGTTTGCATCAGTATTAAAAGAGAAAATGGTACTTTTCCGTTTTGCCGGCGCAAGCGATAAAGTCGCCAATAATGGTACAACCGATGCCAAACGGAATATTCTCGCTGGTAACCTTTTACGCCTCATTCAGATAGTTCAGTTTTATGTCTAAGGCCATTTTCGGCAATTAAATCAATTAGGATGCAATCACAGCGCTTACCCGAAGCCGAAAATATAGAAAAGGTAAAGTCAAGGGTTAAATTCATCAATTCTAATGAGAATGCACTAGCGAAGTAAAGCACTGCAGTTTTACATAATTTCTGAGTAAGCTATTCGTACGAATTGAAGTATTTTTTGCATTTAAACTTGTGTTCCAAATTAAGATTTAACTTGAAATTAATGTAAATAATTACTGAGAGCATTATATTTTTGTAGAGTAGTATACGTGAGATGAGATCGCTTGGGCTCACGTGATATGAACCGGTGAAACAGGTTGTTGAACCATGAAAGCATAGTAAATTCTTAAATTAATGTCTTTTTATAAATTTATTGTCTTTATTTATTGGCTTTTTATAAAATTTTAAGCGATATTAAAATGTATATGCCTTCAAGAAAAGAATTCTTAGGACTAACCTTTTTTTCAATATTTTTTGTGTGTATAATGTATGTTGTCGCCAATAAAGTCTGCTTGGCGAGATTTGCGCCGGCGAAACGGAAAAGTACCGAGAAAATTTGTCTAATTTAATCTATAACTAAAAACTGTAGTATATAGTATGACAGTTAAAAAAAACATAACATAAACTAATAAAAGTATACAGAGATACATTTTTTTTACTTAATGTTTCAATTTAATTCTTTGACATTTAACGTCTGTCATCAAACGATGTTATCACATTTCTCAATTTATCTTGCTGCTGTTGCCCACCTACCTCGATTTCACAGAAGTTGTCACCGTTCTTTTATTTTATCCAACAATACAGTTGCAACAGAAAATTATCATTTTGTGGAAAGAAAATGTGAGACAAAGACGAACCGAGCGCCTTTTACATCTCTACATCCTCTTCATTTCACTAATCTCTTGACTAAAAATCTGTGTCTGTCAAATGAAAAAATTCAAATGGTATTAAAAAAAATCTAGAAGTTGAGCACATGTATCTTATAGACTCTATAATTTCATATCATTTTAAATATATCTAGTGGTACATTAATAGGCGAACTTAATTCTTTCCCTTCTGTTCGTATCTGGAAACGTTAGTATCTCAAAATAACGCCTTTTTAAATTTTTTTATTTATTTTTATTTTTTGGTTGTTGTTATTGTTGCTGCTGTTTCTGGTTAAGGGAAATCAATTAATCTGTTCTCATATTTATAATGTTTTGAAAAGCAAAAATATGAATTCATGAAGAAGTTATTGGTTCATAAAAAGAATCATTAAATTAAAAAAATCAATTATTGATACTTGTTTTATATTTTGGGTTTTACGTACAAGCCGTCGCTCAGGCAAGTAGAACGATTTTGCCCCAGTTATGGATGACCGTGTCCTTTAGAATTCCACAGTAACGTTTGGCGATTGACGACCGTTGCCGAAATTTCTGCCAACGATAGACGAAATAATATATCAATACCGCGACACTTTCTAACTCCGAGCTGAAAGTTCCAAATAACGATCCTCGTTCGTCATTGTGGATATTAGTCGACATTATGCAGGTCTTATCGATCTAAATCCAGTATCCTGAATCACATTCTGCAAATTTCACAGGACAGTGGGCGTTGCATTGAGCTCTGTAGCCATCTACCCTTGTGATTGGTATGCCACCAATAGACCAATCTACCGAAAATTCCCGTCTCATTCCATTATCTATACTTACGTGATTGCTCATTTTACCTGTTGATAGCTTACAATATTTATCCAACTCTTGCGAAAAACACGGCAAATGTCGTGAAGGAATACGAGCATATAAATCGTCGAAAACTTCTCGTGCGCTCTTATCTTCTCCACAGTCACAGCTTCCCAGTCATGCACATGTACGCTAACGTATTCGACTCTGAATATTTGCAAAATTCTTCGATGTCATAATTAGTACTTTTCGTTCAATAATTTTCGTAAAAGTACAGATAGTTTGTAAGTTCTTTTGATTTTGCATACGTATAAGATATTTTCTCCCTCCTTTCCGCATGTCTTTGTTGTGTAACAGGAATGTTGTGTCTCGGGCTTTTCTGGAAAGTGTTCTGAAACTACCTCTTTTGAAGGAAAACTGCACAAGTCCGAGAAAATTGTAATATAAATTATAAATTACTGTTAAGTGTTTGTGTCATATGGTATATCTTTTAATGAAGCCAATCTGAATCTTTTTTATTTGCATATTTTTTATGTTACGTTTCTTGTTGTATTTATATTAAATAAGTTAGGTTCCACTGCTGTTTTGAAGGATATTTTTTCTCGTCGTCTAATGTTATCATTCGGTTAACAATAAAAAAAATAACCGTGGACAAACATGAACATATTATTCGCCGCCTACTGTATTGCCGTACTTATTGTATTTTATTCCGTACTTATTGTACTTCCGTAATACATAATGTATTACTTACGTAGTTTTATCCCGTATTATTAGTTTAGGAAGATATTACGGCACTTCTTTTACCAAGCATTTCCTTGAAAAAAGGTTTTTTTTTACTCTTTTCTGGTACTTAGATTATATATTAATTTGAAATTTTACTGCTTTTGATGTAAGAAAGCTGATGGAATTTTGTTTATATGTTATAAGGTTGCAAATACAATTTCTTTTAGAATTTTTATTATTAAAATTTCAGATGTGATGTCGAAATTTATGAGAAAGAGAATCCAATTTCCAAAGATGAACTCATAAAAATGGTTGCTGGGAAAGACGGCCTTTACTGTTTGCTAACGGATCCTGTTGATAAAGATGTTATAGAAGCAGCAGGTAATTTGCAAGTTGCTGTTCTTATGTACTTTGTTTTAAACAAAAAAAAAATTATAACATTAATCTTAATTTTAATTATTCAAACTACTATTTCAAATATATATTAAAACTGATAAGAGGTGATATAAAACAAAAAAGGAAATATAAGTACAGATAACATTATAAGGCATTGGAATTGTATTATAAAAGGTAGTGTGTGTATGGAACGGAATAATAATTTAGCAGCACGAATGTCAACATAAATACATTTGCTCTCTCATAGAGGGATTTTGGATCTATCCTAAAATATCTCAAAAGATATAAGAATGGAATAATTCGCATGTTTTTGTACATACAATCTTTCAGAATTTGACGGCATAAGATCTCTTGTCTTTAAATATTTAGCTCTTCAATACCTTCGAAGAAAACTATAGACTGATTAATAGAATTCTAGCTATGGAATATTATCGTATGAACTTTTCAGATGACAGTGGTTAACTATGACTTCAGTCTTTAAAAAGTATGGGAGCCATCTTCTATTTACCGTTACGAACTTAGTAGCGTTTTCAAGATTTCTGACACATAGTGATGCACTGATGACAATTTTTTTTTTTTTTTTTTTTTTTTTTTTTTTTTTTTTTTTTTTTTGTGTGTGTTGTGTGTGTGTGTGTGTGTGTGTATTGAATTAAAAATAAAGTAGAAATCCAGACATGTTTAAGATGAAAATTTTAATTTTCCGAGTAGCCATGATAATTCAAATAAAATAATTATCTTAGAATTTTTCATGTATGTGGTTACTTGTGATCAGTAGAGAAGCTACGGGCTATTTTTAACAATTTAAAAAAATATTTAAATTTTTCAATGTCTTTGTTTCCTTGATTATAACTGTTGCTTTTTATAACATAAATATTCATTCATCATAAGCATGAAACAAACATTCAGCAATTTAGCACAGCAATAATTTAACAAACTATTTGTTTTATAATTTGCGTCGGATTTGGGCCAAAGACATATCCAAATAAAAATGACAATATCTGAAAACTATTTGGTATACAATATAACAATATAGCGGTAAAGAGACAATTAATAATATTCGTAAATGATAATGAATGATAATCAAGTAGCTTACAGTAAAATGAAGATAAAATTCTTTAACCAATCAACATAAAAGTCAGTGTTCAACAGAATAGCAGTCAATACAAAAAATGATAGATTGTTTCCTCTCATATACAACATGTACACACAATTTTTAAATTAAGCATTGTACCCATTATTCCTCACAAGAGTTGTAGGCATCTCTGCAAGTTAAGCAAAACCATTTTCTGTTTCAGAATCTGTATCTGATTTCAAAATATGCTTCTTCACGCATTTCAGCTTTTTATCCCTCTTCTTTTAACATTTTTCTGTCCTTTATCTTTCTCTTTTTTGTTTCTTATTAATTATCTCTTCATAGTCATTTTACGATATTTCTTTTTCAGATGTGTCAGTTAAGATGGCAGATTTCCTTTTGCATCGGCCGTTGTTGTTTCCGAAGCCTTAGAGAGAGGTCTAATCTCTGGGGGGGGGGTTAATCTATTTTTCTCTTTCAAGAAAGGAAATAACATAGAATAAATTATTTTGCATAGCAAAATTCAAAAAAAGAAATTCTAAATGTATAAATCAAAATATCAGAACAACTTTCCCCACCATATGGTTTCGGACATTTTTGTTAACTTATAAGAAATATTACGATTGATAAAAAATTAAAGCAGCATTTTAAAATTTAATACATGGACAAAATACATAGGTAAAGCTGTTTTTAAAGAGATCAGTTTATAAGGTATTTCTCCCGCCTTCCTAGCATGCCTTCGTGGTGTGGTGGTCTGCACGCTGGACGCGTATTCCAGAGGTCCGCGGTTCGATTCCCAGGGAAGGCGCTGCTAATTTTTCATCTTACCTGGTTCCAAAAATACCTAATGTCTCTACAGTGGCGTCTTAACTAAAAGGATGTTGGATGATGAGTCTCCATACCCAGGATTTGGCGATTGGGTCCCTTAAAAAACCCCGGTCGCCCTTTAAAAGGGGGAGTATATAAGGTATTTCTCTCGCCTTCCTAACGTGCCTTCGTGGTGTGGTGATCTGCATGCTGGGTGCGTATTCCAGAAGTCCGCGATTGGATTTCTGGCGAAGGCGTTGCTAATTTTTCAACTTGCCTGCTTCTAAAAATACCTAATGTCTCTTCAAATTACTATAACTGTTAACTAGACTACAAGACTGTTAACTAGATAGGACAGAACCTCTTATTACCCATTGCGGTGGAGCTCTGACTGTGCTTATATAATAGGAGCCTTCATAAGAATTATATGTAGTTAAATCTATGATAAAAAATTTTAAAATACTGCATAACGCGGGTATTACAACTATCCCCTAACTTCCCTAGTAATCACCTCAAGTAAGAATTACGTTAAATTAATTAACGCAAAATTTATTAACAGCTTCACAGAAATACATATTCAACGCCGAAAGGATATGTATTTGTCCAAGAAGCAATCGTCAATATTCTACAATTTGGCCTTTTGTAAAACAGCTTAGCAAATCTTGGTGCAAGTGCAGTCACTCAACTACTAATTATTATTCCATTTTGTACATGAAGTCTTGATCGACTCTCGACTTTTACATCAACCAGGTTGAAAACCTGAAAAATGATAGATAATCCAGCCTCATGTAAGAAGGAAGAGAAAAGGCAGATGTATGTGCCATGAACGAATCAGGTGATCAAGATCAAAAGAACTTCTTTTTTTCCTCTTTCGGCAATGTTGAAAGCATGGATGAATGTTTCCTTATCTGCGAGAAAAAAGGAACGTACTTTGTTTATCACTGATCATGTCACAATTTTTTGTTATGTTTTAGTTAAATCAAAGACGAGTTTTCTTATTTGAATTAATTCAAGTATGATTAAATCATAAGACATATTTTAAAATAGGAAAGGCGAATGTGCGTGCCATTGGACGCAGTCATCTGATTAGTTTCAAAGGGATTCTCCTTTTCCCTCCTGTCTCCTGCAACGTGATAACATGGACGATTTTTTCCCTATCTGCGGGTTAAAGTGGATGCTCCTTGTTTAGCACTGACTGCCGCAATTTATTATCAGGTTTTAGTTAAATTTAGCGCAAAATTAGAATTAGGTACATTTCCGTTTCGGCGGCGCAAATCTCGCCAAGCAGATTTTATTGGCGATAACACACAGTATACACATAAAAATGTTGAAAAAAGTTAGCTCTAAGAATATTTTGTTTTGAAGGTAGAAACATTTTGATGTCGTTTAAAATTTTGTAAAAAAGCCAATAAATTTATAAGAAGACATTAATTTAAGAATTTACCATGGTACAACATCCTGATTCGCCAGTTCATATCACGTGATCCTAAATGATCTCATCTCATGTAAACTACGCTACAAAAATCTAATTCTCTCAGTAATTAACTACATTAATTTCAAGTTAAATCTTAATTTGGAATACAAGTTTAGTGCAAGAATTATTTCAATTCATGCGAATAGCTTACTCAGAAATTATGCAAAACCGCGGTGCTTTACTTCGCTAGTGCATTCTCATAAGAACTGACGAATTTACCCTTGCCTTTGCTATATTTTCTCCATCGCGTGAGCGGTGTGATTGCATCCTAATTGACTTAATTACCTCCCGAGAATGGGCTTAAGGCATAAAATTGAACTATCTGGTAAAATTTCTATGTAATTGTATGCCGGTATTGAAAGAAACAATCAATCTGATAAGAAATGGCTGCAACTTGTTTTGAAAATGTTAAAGTAAAAGGTTACCAGGGAGGATATTCCGTTTGGCATCAGTTGTACCATTCTTGGTGACTCATTCCGGCAAAATGGTAAACTGCCTAGAATTATTTCATATATAAAATAATCGATATACCTCTGTTTAATCTTTATTCTCATATTAAGTCTCAAACTGTATCTACATCTTTAAAGTTAGATTTATTCTCTTTCTTTTAACTCTCCCATTCTCATTACATGCAAATGCCTTAGCTAATTCGATTCGTTAGACAATAAGGTTTTGCTAGTTTTTGAAAAAAATAATTGTCATTTGTATAAATTTTAACAATTGTTGATGTCACGTCACAGCCTTGAATATGATTGAAATTAGTATTAGAAATATGAAGAGTAAATGTAATTGCAAAAACTACAATTTAACTTTCCGCTGAAATTATTATTTTCAGATGAATTGAAAAAACATGTACTATGACTTGATTTATATATCTAGTTATCCTCATAAACTCTAAATAACTTCATAAAAGTATAAATATATTATTTCATTTGTCTTAGGAAAACAGCTCAAAGTGATTGCCACTATGTCTGTTGGCTATGAACACATTGATCTGAAAGAGTGTGTGAAAAGGTAAGAGCAGCTAATCTCTTAAATATTTCTGGATGATGGCTAAATAAAAGTTTTTTGGGGCTCTCTTTTTACAGGGTGATGAAACAATATCTGGCAAAAATATAAGAGTAGAGACAGAGGGGTCCGAAATAAGCAGTTTTTATAATAAAGTTGTGTGCCACAGTAAGGTGTTGAGGAGGCTGCTGAGCGGTAGGTAAAAGATTCATTCAAGGTGTAAAGTTCAAGCGGTATGCATGAAAACAGAATCCGCCGATTTGGGGTTTAGGTATTGGATTTCAATTAAAGCTGAACAGCCCCTCAGAGGAAGTACAGACACAAGTAAAAGCTACGCAAGCACCGCTGTAGCACCCTGGGATTAAGTTATTACCGAACCTAGGTAACTAATAGACTTCTGCGCCAATTTTGAGCGAGAGCACCTCATTGTCAGACCACAGGTCTCCCATTCCTCTTCCTCTACCATCGGTCTGTCAAAAGAACTTTCGGCTTGCCGTGTAGTTTGAATACCCCCTTCCCGCGCATCACTATCACGACTTACAAATATTCATCCGTTTTCTGGGATTCGAACCTCGGTTAATCGGTATTGCAATCAGGGTCATTAACCACTATACCGGCTGGACGACATCAAAGGAGGTACACAGAACGCTTATTGGGTGCCTCTTTTGAGCAGATGCTCCATTTCCGGCTGCAGCCCCATACATAAAATACATGTCACCGAGTTCCACGCTCATGTAACGATGCATATCGTTCAAACTCCGCACAGGAAATGAAATTTTAAGCCACCAGAGCCCTTTCATCTACCGCTCAACCATGCATTCTGTTACTTCAAAGCACCATTTTGCGGCACAAATTTTGTTATAAAATGTGCTCTTTTCGACCCCCGCTACCTTCAGTTCGTATGCCAGAAGAAGAAATGCATAAATATCTAATCTGGTGATAGTACGCTAGCCAAGGGCTAAGTCCACTCATCCAATCAAATAGGCGGCATAAGAGTCGACGTAGTTTCTGACATTACAGCTGAAGTGAATTAGCGCTCCATCGTAATGAAACCATTAATTGTAATCATTTTGCACTTTAATATGTGAACAGCTGGAGGAACATCAGAAAGAATCTTGGTAAAAGTATTTTATAGAATGATGCTGTACGTGCGGCCGTCTAAGAAATTACGTAGAATGTACGTTCCTAATAAGTAGTTGCATATTAGCCAAAATAGTAATGTAAAATGTTTCCTGATGGACATTTTATTTTATCCACGTGGATTGTCATGCCCCAGAGGAGAGAACTGTGGGTGTTAAACATACCCCAGTCTGTAAAATTAGCATCATCAGTGAATAAGAGGTATGAAGGGAAGTCAGAATTTGCTGTAACTTGCCGTAGGTATCAGCAGAGAAACTTCATACCTAGAGAAAAATAATTCGGTTTCACGCCTGCGCTCTCTGAAAATAATATGAATAATTTATTTTCTTTATACAGTCCTCCAATACATTGGTTGACTGACGGTCAACGCATCTCCAACTATAGAAGGGTTATTCAAAGTCGCCCAGCCGTATAGTGATTAGTGACACTAATGCAATACCCATGAACCGGGTTCGAATCCCTGACCAGCATCGATGTTTGTACGCGTGTAGTATACTTTCGGATGGTGGAACTCAAAATATATGGCGAACGGAAAGTCCTCTTGAGAGAGTGATGGTAGGGGAAGTTGTCACTGAATTACATGTACCGCCAACAATTGATGGCACAACGCGGACTGTTCTCCTCTTGAGAAACCTCCGTATTAAGCGGGAGGCGGGTCATCCAGTTGGTAGTTTCCCTAAAAGAAGAAAATAAGAACGTCACACTTGCTACTGCCCCCCCCCACACACAACCGAGACAGCAGACTTTGAAAGAACTCTCTTATAAACCAACTGTTACTGTCCGGGCGCGCGAGGTCATCACCACTCCTGGTTCCCGGGTTTCGCAGTGGTAGCCACACACATGTTTGGAGATTTGACTGGTTGTCAGAAATGCTACCTTCCAGTACTACGCAGGATGTCCGAAGCCGTAGAAAAATTATTCTCAAATCAGCGTATTACATTTTTTTCACTTCAAGAGTTCCGTATATTTCCATATTTTCCTATGTACATCCTGCCTACAAACCCAGCAGCCAGCAGATCGCTTTCATCTACTGATTCCAAAAATGTGTATCTCTGCTCCAGCGATGATGATTATTTTTCCTGTATTCCTTCATTCAAAGATTTTTACCTTATTTAAATATATTCGGATTAAGACAAAGTTATAAAAAAGACTTTTAGAGCTAACATTCCTAAAATTCCATCAGATTATCCACAGGCAGACTTCTATAATAAGGAAGAATTTTATCATCTGAATATTTCCGCTTCTTTTTTTAACTGCTGTATGTTTTTCTTTTTTAATTGCTGAACTTCTACGGTTTTAAAATATGTTTCTCGTTCTTTCTTGTGTTCAAGAAATTATTTGTGGTTAGCTATCTTGTTGTCGTTTTTCCATGCTTCAGGGTAAATATTAATGTATGTGTTCTTCTCGAACGCGTACAGCTCGAATGAGTGTCATACTGTGTAAGATAAAATATGAATTTAGTAATGTGTAAATACAGAATATAATGTATGTTTAGTTTTTTCTTATTTCAGTGGCATCAGTTTGCTGTGAAATTAATTTTAATTGATTATTTATCTTTTAAAATGAGTTTCTATTTAATAATTACCGTATTTACCGGTGTATAAGACGCGCCCCCTTTTTTATACACATTTTTGAAGGATAAAACTTTATAACTAATCATTACAATTTCGCCAAGCTCTTATCATTTTCTCAGTTTGGGGGTGGCCCGAAATGTCTCTCTGCAGCCATGTTTCGATGTTCTTTGGCATACGCAATCACACGTAACTTGTATACTATGTTATAGCAATACTGATGTTGTTTTTGAGCGATAACTCGCCAACATATTTAACATAATTGAACAGTTGAAATCTCACACACTTAAAAGTAGTCCACAAAAGTTGGAAAGTTTGAACGAACCCAGCTGTGATCGTCGATGACAGCGCATGCGCATTCACTTCAAATTTCCAGAAATGGATGTAATCAAAAACTGAGTATCGACGTACAAGACGCCCTTCGTTTTTCAAACCTATTTTCAAAGAAAAAAAGTGCGTCTTATACGCCGGCAAATACGGTGCCTAAAAATTTGCTTAGATTTTATTTTAAATTTAAATTTTGAATTTCCTCATAAAAGTTTCCCCTTTTTAAAATTTCCTTCTGTGTAAGACACCACTTTATAGACACTCCACTTCTGGCCCTTCCCTTCTCAAATTTTATCCCATCCCCGATTTTTAATCTTCCAATACATTTTGTCTTTCTCAAATGTAATTTCTTGTTTCGTTTACTGTATAATGATTTTTCTAGCAAGGCTCATGCTATTGCGGAAACGTTAACATACAGTAACTTAAAAATTTTTTCTCCATTTTTGTAATAAATCTGTACAGTAGTTTACGTCATTCTTTTATTTCGGATTTTCTAACTTTTCTGCCGTTATTAAAAGTGTAAGTTTATTCTTTCAACAATTATCTCCGTAAATATTATAACAAATGACTTCCAGAGCGAACTCTTTCTTTCCTCCACTTTCCAACATCTTTCAATTTATTTCAAGCCCCGTGAAAACTTAAGGCGACTTTTCAAGGTTTGGCAATATGTTATGTTTAACTGAAAGCAGATCAGCTAAATAACAAGCATCATCCAAAATCAATGATCAGGATTTTCAAAACATTCTTACTATCGTAACAGACTTCATGCCACAGACAGAGCAAGAGCTAAACAGGATGGAACCATTGTAAGGATTACAAGAACAGGCAGTCATCAAACATAAAATAGTCTACAGTAATTTCTGATCTTAAAGCTCAGCTTCAACAGCAAAATCTGTGTGTTGGGAAGTTACTTAAATCTTCTTCTCCTGAGCAATATTTTATATTGCAACCGTCTTCATTGCGAAACATAGTAGTTCATTTCGGCCTTCAAATAACCCTCTTGTGGGTACATACTGGAGGGTACATAGGTATGTCCCTCTCAAACAGCCCTCCTTGAAAAGCTGTTCAGAGGAGTGAGATAAAATACCTCTTTTGATACTAAAAACACTTTGTTATCTTTGAAATTTCGGTATAGAAAGACAGTAAAGGTTTAACAATGGAATATTTAAAACACAGAAAAATTAAGTAAAATATTTCTGTAAATATAATGAAAATCATCTCAGCCTCTGTGTGCTAACTTTTGGGAAAATGAACTACTATTATTATGCCAGAAAGACTCAGTACTTCAGCAATGGATTTAAGGAAAACATTGCTTTTTGTTTGGAACTATTTAGTCATTTATTTTGCAACATCGATTTTGTTTGCTAGGTTTTTAATTCACAACTCAAGTGATTTTACAATAAAGAAATGTTTATTTCACTGCTAAAAATGTTTCTTTGTAGGCATAACTAGTAATTTATATTGCTTTATATATATACCTTTTTCCCCGAAGGAAAATCCAAGTGAGTAACACACCAGATGTTTCATCTGATTCAGTGGCAGAGTGGACCGTCATGCTAATGTTATGTGCCGGACGTAATTTTATGGACGCTGCGACCGTGATAAAAAGGTAAAGTATGCAGTTCTGTCCCATCCTCTTATCCGTTTGTTTAGTTGATTATGGCAAAACACACTACGGCTATCTGCTTAAGGAAAGGATTACTTCGTGGAGGACATTCTAAGGGAACTAACTGACTCCTATACACAATACACATGGGTAAAACCAACAAAACGCCCATGCAGCCATCCCTTTCGCCAGTACATAGCGATTTTACCGTTCGTACATTCTAAACGTCAATTTTGATGAAATTTTTTCAAATCTTTTTTAAATTATTTTATTTTAAAACATATACTTTAAACTTAACAAAAGTCTTTTTGTTTTACCTCTCCGGTGATTAGAAGCAAAGTTATGACTGCTCTTGTTCTACGTCGTGAATCGGAAGTTGCTGTTTTAAAGGCCGGAAGTAGATGTTTACGTTCACACAGACTACTTTCAGTATCTTTTAACTGAAAATTTTTTATTTGAACACTTTTCGTGATGTTCAAAAGGTGATTTTAAGACTTTCTGTGAAGTGCTCGGGAATACGACCAATTTCGGAGTTTCAGTTTCATATATGGCAAATTTTCTTTTTATTCTATTTGTGTTTATATTCTGCTTTTTACTTCATTGTACAAAGTAAAGGCAGTATTGTAATCACGAAAAATTTCGGGTATCATGTTTCAACGAAAATACCCCTTTTGACTGCACTCGAATTCATTTGAAAGAGATTTTTGCATGACAGAGATTTTTGTGTACGTACGGGCTAAAAAAAAATTAAAAAAAAAAAAAAAAAAAAAAAGGAACTATTTTTTCCAAAATTGATTGTAGAATGGATTTGAAACGAAATCAGCAGGAATTTTTTTAATGCTGACTGTATGTACGTACGTATATATCTCTCATAACTCAAAAAAATGATTAGCCGTAGAAAGTTGAAACTTTGTATATGGACTGCTATAATAACTAGTTGTGCCCCTTTCTATTTTGTTGCAATCGGCCTCATCAAACGTGTGTGCATATATATATATATATATATATATGTATGTATGTATGTATATTTGTGTGTGTATGTATACCCGCCCTCTTACTCAGCTTAGTAAGTTCCTATTTTATTCTTATACGTTGGTAAATTGTGCATTTTATTGCTCTAAAAGTGACTCGATGTTCCGATTAAGCTTTTTATGCTAGTTGTAGAATAATCAAACATTTAAATGTGCTACACGTGACGAGTCCGTCGTTTGTTTACATTTGAAACTCTTAATAGTACAATCAATTAAGTCATTTGGGGTACCAACTTCAGTGTCTTTTTGCCTAGTGAGGCGGAAGTTAAGTTTAAAGTTTCGAGAACCGAAAATGTTGTCTTCCTGCCGTTGGCCGAAGTGCTTGTTTTTGAGTATAAACTCTAATTTTAATTATAATTTCTTTTAAACTGCTTTTAACTGTACTTAGTGTTTTAGGTTTTTCTGCATTTTACAATTTTTAATGAAGATGTTTTGAGTTTTATGCATTTTTTGCCGCGAACCGAGAAATATATATTTCTAATGAAATTCGAAGAAATAAGTTTAAATGAAATGCAGCAAAAAAATGTGTATAATTTAATAGGCCGTACAAGGAAGTCATATGGTGTTCACATCAGATTTTTTTTCTAACATTTTGATCAAAAGTACTTTTGCTTGCAAAGTACGCAATTTGTCACTGTCGCGGCATTTTTTAAAATTCTGTTCTTTGAAAATGTTCCCAATGTATGGACAATTATCGAGGAAAGGTTACACTTCTTGCAAATTTACATCGTTCTGCTTTGGGAACAAATTATCCAGATAAAACATAAAGTTCGCAAAAACTGTTATAAATATTATAAAAACCTGTGTACATGGAGCTTTGTGATGACAAACTGTTAAAAAAAGTGTTTTCACGGAAAAATTCAAAACTTCAGGGAATGTTTTTGTAATATAATATATTATGGAGTATAATAGGAAAACAGGTATTTACTGAACTAAATAACATTGTTTCTTGACTTCTATATAGAAGTAATACAATTTAAATACGCATTTAAGACATTGATTAACGTATTAGGAAAACGTAACCCTCAACAATATGATATCAAGGCATGTAGCCCTCAACAATATTGATGAATCGCAGATTGTCGATTCAAAGCTCCATCTTTACGTTCTGCAAAATCACGTAAAAAAATTAAGACATTCATGAAAGAAAAACATTTCACCACCTGTTTTAAAAAGTATATGAACAGGAACTACGAAATAAGCAATTATTTCTGGGCGGAAACTTTCATATAATTTCTCTCTCTAATGACAAATAAAAGGTTACTGCAAACGTATATTATGATAAGCAAAAAATCATTGTTTGATGTCATTTTTATGTCTAACGTTTTACAGAAATAAATCTATAATTTGCTTCTGATTCATTCTCGATTTATATCAGATGAAGTATAATCTATATAAGTGCAGCACGCTTTATTGCAGAATAATTTTGTATTTCTATAAATGTTTGTACAATAGTTTTTTTTTAATGCAACTTCCTGATTTCTACTAATTTGTTTTTGCTCTTGATGAAGAGGGACCTGTAGTAGTTTTAATTAAAACCTATGCTAAACACAAGATTACTATTTTTTTTATTTTAAGAACATGTTGTTCAAGAACGTGTTTGCAAAATACTGTCAAAATATAAATAATTTCTTCTAATTTGGTGAAAATGAATGCCTTTTGTTTACATATTTGCAAATTTTCTTCGATTTAGGGGAGAATGGATTCATTCTTGGCGACCTATGTGGCTTTGCGGAATAGGCTTGCTAGATGCAACTGTTGGAATTGTTGGGATGGGAAGAATAGGTATGTATCAATTTATTTCACGTTAAAACTCTTCTCGGGCGCTACTGAGTTACTTTTCTTTGTCAAACTGAAGGGTGCCATTTCTTAACAGTTTGGCTTTTTGCTTTTTTATATTTCCGTGCAAACTTCCTTTGCAATGTCGAATTTCTATATCGTAATTCTATAGTTATTACATCCGCCTAGCTTTCTGGCACTCCAGGTTTTCCAAATTAAGTACCAAATTTAATGAGAACAGTTAGTGCGCAGCAGCAATTTGCGGCGTAGAGATAATGGTTAAGTTAGTTTCTTTATGTTTTTGCCGCATATTTCTTATATTTTCCAAATAGTCCTAAAAACGTGTCTGGCTATTATAGTAGTATCGAGTTACATAAAATATTCTTCAAGCAACAATGATCGGAAAACTATTTGCATTAAGCGTTTAAATGTCAATGAAGGGTTGCACAATCCGAAAAGCACTACTTTGAACTGTCAGAGACCTGGACGTGTAAGAAATGTTTTTCTCCATTTTTGATATCTATATATTTTGACTTGCCATTACCGGTTCTTTAAATCCACAGTTTAAATCCATTTGTTTCTGGCTAGCTGGTATCGGAAGTATCAGACATGGGCACAGCCTAGCCCACCTAACCAAACAAGTTGGTCTCATGGTCATAACAGGCCAAACTGGTTAGCTGGTGTATAAGAACCGCTGATTTTAGCAAGATGTAACTGTTCTTGTTTGCAATATTTTTCCAACGTTTCCATTGACAGAAAATCATATGGAGTTGTCCGTTTTGGAAACCAGCAGGATAGGTGAAGCTTAGGGTCTAGACGAAGAATCAAGTAATGCCATTATCCTGCATAGCTTTCAGAAGCATTTCAAATTCTTTCTGTTTCGCGGAAGAAAGACGACAAGGATGTTGCTTAATGTGCAGATGGCTTCTAATGTCGGCCATGCATTGTGTCACATTCGGCCGACCAACATCGCTTAATAAATGTGAATAGATATCTTTAAATTCTTGAATTAAATTACAGCTTGCATTTAATTAGCATTTAGCTTTGAGTTGGCAGTCAAATCTTTTAATTCAGCTGAAGACTGTTTTCGATTGAAGGAACTTCGCATGACGCTTTTCAGAGAAGAACATGAAGCAGTTTCGTTTCCTCTGACATATATATGTAGTCCACCGCTTATTCTAGCAACTCTAACTGACACATTTTCTTTTGATAAGTCTACAAGTTGGAAGGTATTAGATGTTACAATTAAAATGAGCTTCCTCTTTCCTGATGTTATATATCTAATCATTCACATATGTAAGCGCGACGTTATAAATTAATTGATTTTAATTTATGTAAAATAGCAATGTAAACATTCCCTACTGCTAAGAGTTGTATACAATGGTTTTAATTTTGTTCTGCTTTCGTCCTTTAGGGCAAGGAGTGATGAAAAGGATTTTGCCATTTGGTGTGAAAAAGGTTCTGTATTTCGACGTATTTCATCCAATTAAACCAGGTAAGTGCAAAATATTTTAACCTGATAAGTCATAAGCAATCCAAGGAGCTTCTATTCTAGACTTAGTAGCTCCTGTTTTGTGGGCAAATCTAATGGAATATTGTTTATTTAGCCAGAGAGGTAGGATTTTATGTTAATTAACTAGTTATTATGAGTCGAATCTTTACTATAGCTTGTTCTTTCCGTCGTACTCCCCAGAATACAAGTTAGTTCTTGTGTATTTAAGCCGATAGTTTGAATGTTTATTAGAGTTTCTGGCAGCCCTTTTACTGTTACGTACTATTTCTAACTCTGTCTAACTTTTATTCCGGCTTTAGTATCTTGATAATCGGCGTTTAAAGTACGTGGCGGCAAGTATCTTTAGCCAGCTGGAGTAGTATATTTTATGGGTTGTCTTAGACTACGTTACCTATACTGAACATTCCAGATTAGCATCAGCCCACCAGCGGCCGAGCGGTAAAATCGCTGAACACTGGTAGTTCGGTCCGAGGTTCGAATCCCGCGAACGGGCTGGCTGCATGGGCGTTTTCGTGGTTTTCCCCATGTGTAACGTGTATACGAGCCAGTTTCCCTCAGAAAGTCCTCCACGAAAGGCATCCCTTCCCTTAGGCAGATAGCCCTAGTGTGCTTTGCCGTATTCTCAATACACCCACACACACATACACACCAGATTAGCATCGTGCCATCTCAAATGCGACTTGGTACAATATGTCCTCCGTAATGAATTCAGTCCTATGTTGCTAATCGTAACGTCGACAAATTAACGTTAGAAACGTCCTTGGAGGTCTCTCTAAAAGTTTTACGTTATGTTACCCTAGTTTCGATTGGAATATGTTACTATTACTTGGAATATATGATATTTGCCTTCTGCAGAACTCGCCGTCTACAAATTCATAAAATGTTTCCATTCCATTTAGGTTTCGAATTTAATGTATTTCTAATTTCTGAATAAAATGAGCGATTTAAAAGTAATAAAGGAACTAACAGAGCTAAAAAATGAGACTTTTTGAAAATCTCATACTGATGTCAATACACCCCACATGTTTTATCTGTATTTACGCGTCAAAACAGAAAACCGCACATATAAAAATAATATTTTTATGTTACTAGTAAGTCTTGATTCAATAACAAATCGAGGAAATGAAAGCGAGCAACTCACTACGGTATGAATTCCTTGGAAATGAGAATCGGAGAATTAAAAAGTAAAGAATAAATCCAACTTGGAAGCTGTATAGACATTTTGAAACTTGGTGATAAGATTAAACAAAATATGAAGCTGTGCATAAATAAATACAACAAGTAGAGCAGTATAAATATAAATATATTTCTTAATATTATATTCACCAATAAAAGACTGCCAGTCTTTGTATGCATGAAAATGAGGAAAGACCGAGAGAAATTTCTTTTTGTATGGCACCCAAATGGAATCCCATCCAGCTGAGATGAAGAGAGGGAGGTAATTTGTTCCGGATCATGCTGAAGAAGAAAACGTTAAGAACTTCAGATAATTTTTTAAGAATTGGAATCTTCGCCCGAAGGGATAATAAGAAAATCTGATGTGTACACCACATGACTTCCTTGTACGGAGTATTAAATTATACGCATTTTTTCTTGCATTTCGTTTAAACTTCTTGGATTGAATTAAATCTATTTCGCCGACAGCGCATAAACCGCAATAGAATAAATGCATTCTTTAAAATTCACTTTATTTGTGTACCAGAGCGACACTCTGGCGCTAGGTTCACTTAACAGTATTATATTTCGTTCATAACTCAGAATGCACAAATTTATATCATTTAAAGAATTATATAATCGTTGCCACACGTTCTATTCAAATACTATAATAAAGCTAGAACTATGTATAAAAGAAATTAAGCAAACAAAACAAAAAAGAAAGTTTTTCACAGACGATTGAGTATTTCACATTCATTTAATTCAGTTCTCACTTCACGACAAGGCAAAAATACATAAAAACTCAAAATATCTGTATTAAAAATTACGAAGTAAATCTTAAACACTTATTTCGTCGAAAAAATTCCAGAAAGGATTAAGCATGATTTAATTGGCAATAATAAATGAAGGCGTTATCTTTGTTGTTGCGAAGCTACGTTTCTCTAGATTGGCAACAAATCCACTATCCTGCTGTTTCAAATGTAAACAAGCAATGGCCGCCATCAAAAAAAAAAATATTAGGCTTAGCGGCACTTAAACAGCTTTTAAATTATTGATAATTGTACAAATATTTTTTCAGATTTACTAAAGGCACAAAAACCTTAACCGGAAGATAAGAACAACATAATTCGATCATTTTTAAAGCATAAAACGTACAATTTACAAACATATAAGAGTAAAGAAATTGAGATCATTGAGCCGGCTAACAGAGTGGATATATATATATGTGTAAATATTTATATGCGTTTGGTGCGGCCGATTGCAACCAAAATACGAGGTGCACATCTACATGTTACAGGAGTCCTATATACAAATTTCAACGTTCTGAGGATACTCGTGTTTGAGTTATGCGAGATACGTACGTACGTACGTACATACGTTCGTACAGACGCCACGAAAAATTCTTTTCAGAATTCATTTTAAAGCCGTTTTATAATTTTTTTGGAGGAAAAGAGTCTTTTATTCTGTCCTTACGTACAGATATCACGCAAAAACACCGTTAAATTGCATTCGATAGCGGTCAAAATTGATATTTTCGTTGAAATATGCTGCCTGACACTTTTCGCGATTACAATACTTCCTTTTTACTTCGTATAAGGAAGTAAAAAAAGAGATTTCAAATGCGCAAGAAAGTTAGAGTTATTTCTTCCTTCTCCTGAACACACCCTGAACTCTGTTCCTTCTCCAGAACACACAATGTGTGTGTATTCACCTGAACACACACACATTGTGAGTTCACAATTTTAGACTGAGAACACTCAGACTAAAATTGTGTGAAATGAATTCATACTAAAATATAATTGAAATAGTGAGCTAGTGTGTGTTTATATTAATATTTTTAATAATTGATAAATTAGTAAATTTATGACACCTGTATTAAATTTAAAGTATCTGTGTATAACCAAAATCACCTTAGAGCTCTGCGTGAGTCCTAACATTTACCAATAAATTTCCCGAGTCACGAATTTTCGTAGAGTACAAAATTCAGTCACACAGGAACACTGAATAAAACCAAAATAGTTTCAAATAAAATAGTTATTTTATTTGAAATAATTTAAAATATATTACATGGTAACAGTCTACGTGAACTGGGTATTAGTTGTAGAATAACGTTTTAAGTTCAAATAATTCAGAATTAAGTTTAATTTAGCAAGAATCCCAAATTTTCTAGCGGATGATAACGCGTTTGAACTTTCAGTCGCAGCTTACCAGTTGAACTGCTAATTCTATAGACCTTTCTCCTGCGACCAGGTTTTCCATCAGACATTGGCAAACAGCTGATTCACCTTCAAGTGCGCCTCTAAAAATAACTTCTAAACAAACTATATTGTCACAAGTTCCTAACATTTTAACATTTTTCGAGTTTTTAATAGTTTGCGAAATTTTATTGCTCTTTTGATTGCTCTTTGCGGTTTATAACCACGCTCAGAAACAGAATAAACTTATTCAAACTGCAATTTGCGGGAAACAACAAACGACTCACAAAACAAACGCCATTCTAGAATGGATAGCAAAGAACCATTTGTATAAAACCACGAGATTTTTATAGCTATACGTATTTTACTTTATGGACTTGTTTTATGAGCCCATTTAATGAAGGTAACAATTTTCTTCGCAGCTGAAGAAATGGGAGCAAAATATGTCGAATTACAAGAATTACTTCAAAATTCGGATTTCGTTGTGTCCATGTGCAACTTAACTGACGAAACAAAAAACCTATTCAATAAGAGCGCCTTTGATAAGATGAAGCCTGATGCAGTATTTATCAACACGAGCAGGTAATTTCTTTTGATGTTTTATTTCAGTTTCCATCAGTATAATTTAATATTAAAAAATATTTTTTCATTTTATTACATCTGCAATAAAATTACACGAATGAGTTCACATTTTAACTAAGGACTGCAGGTGTGTGGCCTCGTAAAGCGGCAAAAATATTTATAAAAATAAAATATTAATTCAAATAAATTTAATTCCAAACAATTGTTCGTTTATTTCAGTTTTATAATTTAATGAAAAGAAAATTTTCAAAATAACTACATGATTCTTTTTGTTTACGTCTCCATTAAGGTGTTTCATACTGTATGATGCAAAAAATCGTCATTGATGTCAAAGTTAATCCATATTTTTTTTTCGTCAGTAATGCGATGTAGCTTCGCATAAATGCGTAGTATAACAAAGCAGAAATATGCTTAGGATCATTTAAACAATTGTTAAAAATTCTGTCTTAATACCTTACTACTTAACTACTATTTGAAAATCCCGCATACTATTTGAAAATCCCAATAATGTCAAACCCGTGTTGCTTGATAATTTGGCAAATTCTTTTATTGCCAAAAGAGTGTCATTTTTTACTTCTGCATATCTGATTTCTGAATCCAATGTAATTTTTCAGAATAAGAATTTAACAAATAGTAATTCTGATAGTGTATCCACAAATACTTCAAATGCTCAATTACAATATCTATAATTTAATATTTCGGTAAGTCATTCCCAATTAAAAAGTCCTCTGTAAGTTGTAAATATGAATGATGAATAATTGATTTTCTACTCTTCAGTATGATAACGTTTCAACAAAATCTTCAACTTTATGTTATAATAGAATATAAATTTAAACCAGGATTCACGAATTTAATTCATTTCTGAAGACAATTCGTTATCCTAAATATTGAAAAAACGAAACAATTTTTCCCATATGAATTAATGCAAAATGAATTAATCGGTTCCCGGAAATTCGTAATACAAGTGCAATGAGATTCATACGTAATATTTAACACAATACTAAACATATAAAAAATAAGAAACCTGGAATTAAATTTTACGGTATCTCTTAAGAAGGAAAGTTAAGAGGAAAGTTGAGTTGCTAAAGAAACCGAAAAGTGGGAAATGCTATTGTTTGGCAGGAAACAATGAATTAACCAATATTGCCCCATTCGAATGTGGAACGAATTTTTATGAATGCAGCTCAAATTAAATTTTGATACAAGGTGGAATTACAATGCTGATAGTTATATTGTTGATCTAGTACAGAGCAGGAGCTAGGGTTTTTAGCGCCCGAGGTCATTTGAAGATCTCGCTCCCGTCCTGTTTGCCAAAAGTGAAAAACGTTCCATTCTAAAAATTCGTAACGTCAGTTTAGCGCCCACTAGACGCTGCGCCCGGGGAGCATATAAACATTCTGTACCGCGCCACGCGCATAAGGAAAAATCCGTACTTGTGATTGGACATTCTTTCCGGATGACATTCCTTTCTCTCGGCGTAATGACGTTTAGACGGGATTCTTACGGTTTTATTTTCAGTGAATGACTCGCCTGCGTGATACGGAAGCGTGAAAATTATGGTTTGTTTTCTTTGGAACAAAAAAAAAAAAAAAATGTAGCCGCACCATTCTGAAGATGGCTTCTTGTTTCACTGAATTATAAAATCTTTCAAACATGCTGTTAATATCAAAAGCAATCTTAAGCATTTAGATTGCATAACTAGCTGAGTTCATAAATTTAGTGCAAAACCAAAACACGACGGTCTCGATCCTATAAAGGCATTGCGTTCTAACAAGTATATTATTATTGCAATTTTGATGCATTCTGTTCCTTTCATATTGTAGAAAATATTTCCTTTGCAAATGTTATGTTATTTCCATGTTAATGTCCATGTTATTTCTAACATTCTGTTGCCTTAAATGAAATTAAAAAGTGCATTCAGTATTGTCTCTGAATTTAATACACATGTACAAGACAAGAAACTCCCTTTTCTGACAAACGCTATTTTTATGCAAAGATGCAAAAGATGTTACACATTAAAAAATGAGCAATATTCATAAAGTAATATTATTCAATTTAAAATACGTATTTCTATATCTCTGTTCCAAATCTATATTAGTCTAACTCCAAAAGTAAATTTTGTGAATTTACTCTAGTAAACTAATAAGTTAACTCCCAACGTCGTTTTTGCTATTTCCGAAAAGTGACTTGTCTCATGCTTTCGGAGATTGCATCTGCAGAGAATGGCTATATAATGAACATGAAATAATGAATTAATAATCACAGCACTTTTAAGATAAAGGGATGACTTTTAAAATTAAATTTAAACATTTATTAGAAATCTCTGCACTTAACTCACTGCATACACATTTATGTAGTTAAAACTAGAAGAAATAATATTTTTTCTCTCTAGGGGGGGAAACACTACATTCTTATATAAATTCACCACACTGCAGTATTGTAAGTGTAATCTTATAGCAACAAAAATACAACGTACGCAATAATCGTTTCGGTACTGCTATCAAAATGTAAACAAAAGGTATGGAGTTGTACCCTCGAGCCAAGGCAAAGTCAAGGCGTACCTAAACGTAAAGGAAATGATGTCATCGGAAGCCATATCCAATCACGATGAGGGATTTTTCCCTATGTGCGTGGCGCGGTACAGAATGCTTATATGCGCCCGGGAACAAATGTCCTCCCTTGCCCCCTCTAGCTACGCCGTTCATCAAGAATGGGCTCAAGTGTATCTATCGTTGTGGACTTTTTTTTAATAAGCATCTACACTTAGTGACAATGGAAACAATAATCACATTGATAATGCTCGAAATCTAAATAAAAATGCACTTGAATTACACAGAGAAGATCACTTCATTACTGTAGCCACAGTAATATGCAACTACTATTTAATTTAGATTAAAACTGTGACCTTTATATTTCGTTCTTAATAGTTAAGCTCACACTGTCCTGTTTCTTCTTAGCTTCATTCGCAGCTGTTACTTTTCTAAAATTTCAACTTCAATTTTTTTCAGTTCTTCTGTTTCTAACCTATCACATTTATGAGACGTTGCTCATTTGAAAACTGATGCAGAGAATTTTTAAACTCCCATGAAAAATGTCGCGTAAAATATAGGTATATACAACCGCAAATGAATTGCGAATAAAATACTTTTCACCCTTTCAGAGGTGGAGTAGTGAATCAGGACGATCTGTATGATGCTTTGAAGAACAAGAAAATACGGGGAGCTGCTTTAGACGTGACACTACCAGAACCATTGCCCGCAGACCACAAGCTGACCACTCTTCCAAATATAAGTAAGTGTCTTGCTCAAAATGAGAGAATACATTTTTTTAATTTCATTAATTTATAGTCTCATCAGTAATTTTCAGAAAACTAGTTAGATATTTGAGTTTTATTTTTCTATTCTCTTATTTTGATTTCTTAGGGTTCAAAAAGCAGTTCAGTACGAATATGTTATTTTTGCTTTTCTAAATGATTGTTCACTTACAAGTTAAAGCATTCGATGGAAATGGTCAAAACCTCTTTGCCATTTAGTCGTCGCATCACCCAGAAACGAGAGTATCATTGTCTTTTATTATTGCTGGTTTTTCTTATGCTCATTTGTCTGACGTAGTCAGCTCAAGCCCACGAAATTCCTCGTGGCAAGGAGCGCAAGATTACGTTTGTCTTTGGCAACAGCCCCGAGCACTATACAGGTGACAGTGGGATTTAGCTAAGTTCCCCACCCCCCAATTTTGAAGGAAAGCACCTCGGGGGTTTACGGTTCCAAGGGTCTTCCACTCGAGAAGACGTTCGGCTCGCCGCATATATAGAGTGCCGCCATGCCGCACCGACACTATACATTTACAAACATCCATACCTTCTCCGGGATTCGAACCCGGGCACTTCGGCACGGCAGTCAGCGACGCTAAGCGCTGTACAAGTCTGGCGAATATCATCATCGTTTACTTTATTTTACTCCACCGACACCGATAGAGCATTTTGTCCGCTTGAGAATGATACTTATCAGCCCATTTAAACCTTGCTTGTGACTTTAATTTTGTCCTCAAGTCTGGAGACTTGTCTACTGCTGGCTTTGTGTTAAAGGACAACTAAAGTGCAGTGCAAGGAGTGAAGTTAGCCTCAATTGTAAATTGCAGGCCGCAGTTCATGTGCCGTTCTTTTGTTTTAAAAAACAGAGTTGCCTTTTTTCGGGGTTCTCGATATACAGTACTGTTACAAACATACTGATCAATTCATTTGAAAATAGATGCATGGCAATAAGCTATTACAACATACAAACTAAATACAATTTATTAGATAAGTACTTGAAAATATTGTACACTTCTGCAATACCAAAACACAGGTGCACCTGTATGAGTACATACATATAGTGTACGATACAATTACAATATTGGAACAATACCTGTGCTACACTAATATATTTCACTACTAATGCACTTTATAAATTTATTGTACATATCCAGAATTATAGTGGTCATGTCAAAACTCTGTAGCAATATAAACATTGTGTGCGCGTGAGAATAGCTGCCGACATGTGGCATTTGAATTGCCATCTCAATGGACAAAATGCAATGCCTGCCACACCACGACGGACAACATCTATAAGTATTTAATTCTAATATCTACCAACTTTTAGTTTGAAAACTGATAAATCTGATGAAATAACGTTTCATATTTCAACATTTTCCTTAACTGTTTCATGTGATAACATCAGATAAGATTTCATTCGGTTACACTGTAGAGACATTAGTACTTTTTTTGGAAGCAGACAAGATGAAAAATTAGCAACCGCCTTCGCCGAAAATCGAACCATGGACCTCTGATATACAGGCTTAGTGTGCTGACCACTACACCACGAAAGCACTCTAGGAAGGCGGGAGAAATACTTTATATACTCCCCCTTTTAAAGGGCGACTGGAGTTTTTAGGGGATCCAATCGCCATATCCTGGGTGAGGAGAATCATCATACAACACCCTTTTAGTTCAGGCGCCACTGTAGAGACATTAGGAGTTTTTTGGAATCAGAAGAGATGAAAAATGAGCAATCGCCTTCGCCGGGAATCGAACCACGGACCTCTGAAATACCGGCTCAGTGCGCTGACCATTACACCACGAAGGCACGCTAGGAAGACGGGAGAAATACCTTATAACGCCATTTAATATAGTTCCTGCTTTTTCAAAGCAATTACCTATCGTGTTTGATGTCACCTCATTTCATGAATCCCCATCAAAATTTATCGCATGAAGAATATACAACTTAAAATTGACGATTTTATTTGCTAGCCATTTAAAATTCTTTTTATATTTTATTATAAATGACAGTATTATTCTCGTTCCAACAAGATGTAGTTCTTGCATGACACGAACGAAAAAGTGGTTTTCAGATATAGGAAATCGTAATTTGAAAGAAGAATGAATAGAAGTAATTTTATTGATTCGATTTTTATTTATTTATTATTCAACTTTGAAGTTTTCTAAGAATTATTATTATTATTATTATTACTGAGAATCGAGAATAACTAGACGTAACGAATAAAAATTCTCAAGAATCAAGACTCAAAACTTTTTAGTCAATTTCAAAGTTCTTTGCGGCATTTCTCAAGCCCAATTACTACCGCCGTCCAATTACTCCCAGCGCAATTACTACTCGAGTCCAATTACCACATCGGGTCCACAGAAGTCCTTGCTCGGACTTTCTGTTCGCAAGCGTTAGTCGTAGACATGTACTTCCAGTTGCAAAATTATTTTAAATGATGTAAATATTCATGGTTTGGCATTTTTAAAATTAAAAAAAAAAAAAAATTGAATGTTTCAGATTTAAATTATGTCCAAAGGGCGGTTTTTAACATTTGTGTGTACCTTTCTTTATTAAATATCATGTTCCTCGCACTTAAACCATAAGATCCAGTGCAACAGCACTATCGCAAAATAGTTTTAAAAGAGCATATCTTTAGAATTTCCGATAAGAGACTCACGAGCTGCAGATAGAAATGTTTTTCTGCACAACGTTGCATTGCTCGCTTTGAAATCCTTGAGGTTGTTATCAAAAAATTCGTCAAGTTTAAAAATAGGAAATCGATCATAAAACAAATTTCAAATTTCAATTTGGTCTTCCACAGCTCATATTCGTTGGAGGATTACGTATTCAAAATTCGATGACTCTATGTACCGTTGTTTTATCACAATACGAGAAATATACATACATTATGCGATTTTTATTATTTAATTCTTCAATATAATGCAGGACTCTAACATTTTGTGGCAACAGTTTGAAAAGTGAACCGACATTTATGAGTCCGACGCAAAATGCCAAAACGAAACTAATAGTCCTTCGGGATTCAAATTCCTTTGGACTAAAAAGTCAATTTCCTAAAGATTAAAAACCTATTTCTTTATACTCTCATTCTGTCCGTGTACTTATATTTAGAAAATTTCATAATAAAATAAAAGAAATGAAAATGAAAAAATAAAAGGTTGGAGTAGACTGAAGGGTACCCTTTGTATTATTATCACGAAGTCGTTTCATTTATCGCCAAGTTGTTGTTTCGTTTATCTCCAAGTTGTTTCGTTTATCTCCAAGTTGTTGTTTCATTTGGGATAACCTGAGTAGTTTAATGTTCCGTAAGTATACTTTTACCTAGAATTGGGTGCTCCTTTAACTTTTTAAGTGAAAATATATGTATGTGTACGTAAACAAAGGGAGTGCGGAATGCCAAGTTTGTGCAATTTTTTTGTGTTTTTTTAAGTGAAAATAGGTCGAAGTGTACATGGATAAAGTCAAGGGAGTGCGCAATGCCTATTTTGTGCAATTCTGTGTTTTTTTTAAGTGAAAATAGATCAATGTGTATATGGATACCGAATTTGTGCAATTCTATGACTTGTTATTTTGTCTTTGTGTAACGGCGATTTTAGCACCAAAAATCGCCGCTATACCAAGCCTAAATAACAAGTCAAAGAATTGCACAAACTTGGTATCCATGTACCGCCAAAAATCGCCAATTTTCGCCAAGGGTTAACTTTTACCAAATAAAATACAAGAACTGTAAGTCCCGTACCACTAAAATTGACAGAATATGTAGTTTTAAAAAAACCTGGAAATCATTACCAGGAGCCGTAGAAAAATTAATGAGTGAAATGTTTGCATTTTTACATGACTGAAAACAAAATAACAGTTTAGAAAATTATCTCTGATGTTAAGAGATTAAGTGACGAGTATTTCTATGCAGATTATTGTTAAAAGTACTTGTATACGTGTAATTTCAAAATGGATATCTTATTCACAGAATATTAGAGAATTCGCTTTCTAGAAAACAGCTTTGCCACAACTTCAGCTTTTTCCCTTAAATACCATTCGGTGGTATACCAATACTTTTGTGATTTACCCGCGTGCAACATTCTTTAATTTATAATTTGGTTATAAGTGGTATGCCGAAAGAATTTTCATAAACATAATTTGGAAGTTCTCTATAAAATCATCATAAATATTATCATAAAGTTTTATTGAATTATCAGAGTTGAGAATTATTGAATTGAGTCATTATCAGAAATTATGCCTCAAATTCATTAAACTATAAATTTATAATTCATGCAAACAATTTTACTAGCTGATTGTAGGCCAATACTGAAGCCTGTCATATTTTCTATAAGACGAATTCTGTGATTCTGTAAATAAGATCCCTTTTGTGAACAAATTTGTATTGATAATGCTTTTCTCGACAATATGTATGGAAATGTTTTTAGCTTTATCCATTAACATCCGAAACGTTTTTCTAAATTGATATTTTATTTTTAGTTAGGTACAAAGGCAAACATTTCTCTCTTTGAGTTGTATACAGCTCTGGAATATAATCACTCACTGTTTTGTAAAATGCAATAACTCGGTCAATTTTTTCCGTACTGGAATGTATTTTATTTTTTATAATGAGTATAAAATTTTCTTAAACATAAGTATAGGGACCGGAGTAATTTACAAAATGTTTGATTCCGTAATTTATACAAAATTGATATAATTTTAAATTTAAAATGGTTAAGACATGAATATTTGAATGATTTAAAACTATTTTGTAAGTATATGTTGATGACAATGTTTGAGAAAATAAAGACCGTGTAGAGACTTGTAGACATGGTATATAAAACCTGATTTCAAAATTTGTGGACCAACATTTAGGAATAAAAGAGTGCACAACAAAAAACACAAGAAACACATCTTATGTAGAAAGGTAAGGACGAAACTGAAGCATTGAAACACAAACATAAAAAATCAAAACCGAAATTGCATTTATTTATTTTAAATTCCCAGTAGTTGAAAAAGGCTACTTTACAGCAATGTTTACAATAATTGTTCAAAATTGAGTTCAAGAACAGTAATACGTACTTGGCAGTGTCGATGGAGCGACTGACTGATTACATATATTTGTAGTAAAAACTATTTTGAAGTACTGATAAAGGAACACTGAGACGTAAAAACGCAGAAATACCGATGGCGCACATACGTTTGGAAGCAAATTAAACTCAGATCGACGACCTTGAACTTTTTTTTTCCTTCTAAATATTGAAGTACTAGTTAATTCCACATTTCATTTCATTGGACATTTGAACTTTTCGAGCTTGCAGTTAAACAAACACACTTTTTTGAATTTAGTAGATATTTTACAGATATCCAAATGAATAAATGTTCCATTAAGGTTAGTAACACGTGATCCGATGCCGATCGACTCATTGTGATGAAAAAGATGTAACAATGTAGATGGCGTAGCAAGTAGACAGCTAAGAACGTGAATTCATATTGAAGAGGAAAAATTCTGATTGCATTAGAATACTAAGATGTTGAGTCCGTAATGACTAAAAACCTTGGCAGCCGAATAAGATTAAATATTCATTTGCATTTCAATTGACACTTGTGGCCACAATTTACTTGGTACTCTAGTCGTCCCTATTCAAGAACATTTACATTTTAATACTTTTGCGATGGGAACAGAGCACAGTGAAATAGCGTTATTACAGGAAGAAAGGAAAATGCTAAAGTGCGCCGTTATCTAATATGCAAGTTCTCCAAGACAGGGTTTTGGTTTAGGTTCAAAAGTTTCAATTCTCAAAATTTTGAGTTTAGATTCGAATTAGCGTTACCCAATGCATGCGAGATGGAATGATCTAGAAATGATGCAGTCTAGAAAAATTATCACGATATTTAGAATAGAGAGGGGGAATTTTGGGTGACAATACCAAATAAAGTTATGTTATCTAAACACATTTCTATGAAAATCGATAAAGTATTCTGACACATACAGAGCTGCTAATGGACAGGTTTTTTAGCTTGCATGAGGCTTTGCAATGGAGATAAAATCATGCCCTTAGAGGTGAAATATTTTAGTAAAATTACTTCTCCTGACTAAAAATGAACTTTGCACGTATGTGAATAGCGCAAATAAGAGCGGACATTGAGCCACTGAGGCTCCCGAAATTCGAAGCCCGTAAGTTATTTCACTTTCGTGTGAATCGTCTCCTTGTAACAATTTACTGTAGTCAACCTCAGTTAAATCTAAAACACTATTATTAAACTCTTAAGAATATCGATATCAGGGAACATGCAAATGTCTAAGAGCTTATTGATATTATTTTTAGAAATTATTATGTCTAAGAAAATTAAATTTTCAAATAAATCACTTTCTTTCAAACACATCCATCGAGTTAGAAATGACTTTTAAGTCTACTGTTATAATTAACTAACCAAAACGGTTCTCAAACTACACTTTCTGATAGCTGATTTATCGTGTATCTGGCTGACGTATCTTGAAATTGAAGTCACGGACGTCAACCATCTTATTTAATATCGGCATTGAACTTTTAAATCCAGGAAATGATTTTATTATTCCGGTAATTCTCATTATGGAATAATAGTCAACGGAAAGTCAGTAAAATAGGTTACAAACTACTATAAAGTAATAAGAAATAGCAATAGGTAGCTTCAAAGGATATCATCACGTCACCAGGTAGCATGGCAATACAGTCATAATTTTATTAAATCACTGACCGTCGAGGGCGTTTTAGGCTACCAAAGATACTACCTACTGAAAGTGGCTACCATGCTGTAGGAATGCACATTAAAGAAAGAGTCGACTGTAGTGCGTCATTTATGTTCTCAGGCCATTTCTAGAGTTAAAAATTAAATGTGACAATTGCTCAGCGACATACAGCTGTGTAGTTCTCCGAAAATGTCCTGGTTAACTCATTAATGGTATATATTTTCAACACAGTATCACCATGACTATTGCGGCGCGAACCAGCAAAAACCCAAAACCTTAGATGCAGGTATCCTGATATATCGACTGGATAAGAGTCTCAGTGCAAATGGAAGTCGTATAAAATATAAAACTGATTGTTTCATAAATATTTCGCTCAATTTAATTTTTTGAATCATTTGTGAACTATTGACTGACAACTCTACACGTATGTTTGTGATATAAATAACTTCTGTTTTCAGGAATAACAACATTATCAAAGAGCAAAATAATGTTTTAAAAAAGTCATTCTAATTCTTATTTTTTATTTACTTTTTTTTAGTTATTACGCCCCATGTCGCCAGTGCAGAGACGAACGTCAGAATAAAAATGGGAAACTTGGCTGCTGAAAATATTTTGCTCGGTGTGAAAGGGGAGCCTTTGAAGACACCTGTACCCATGCCCAAATAATTTCAAATTGAATGTACTGAAAGATTTTTTTAAGTTAATGTAACAATCATTTAAATAAAATGTAATTAAAAGCAATTTACAGCACAATATGGACTGTTCACTTTGTAAAGAGTTGTTATATTTATATCTATGCGAATTCAGGTACGTGGAATCAGGGCCGACGATAGGCATTTTGCCGGTCGGTACAACCTATATATATATATATATATATATCCCTAAATTCTAAAAATATACCTAATTATCTAAAAATTTTAATTCCCTAACTTCTAAGATACAATTATGCTGGAAATTGCAAATTACCTGGTATGAAAAACTTTGAAACTAGGACTTTTATTTCGAAAAAAAATTAAACCTATACAATTGGGAGTCACAGTGATCACTCCTTATCTCAGTTTAATTTAATAGTTTTACCAATACCTTACCTTTCGCAAACTGCAAAGGAGAAATTTATACAGGCGATACTGTCTATTTATATGCAAGATCAATTAGAACTAACCATGCAATTTACCAAGATACAAGAAGGCCTTGACAAAACTGAAGAATGGTGCAACAAGTAGAGATTTACAATAAACCCAGATAAATGTTACTCTGTGCTATTACCCAACTATAGGATTGGCCGCCTAGTTAAAACCAAGCGCATACTATATCTCCAGGACAGCTCGTTAATGCAAACAGGTGCTGCCAAGGGTATCTTGAGATACCACATGACTAGACACAAGTTACAAATAATACTGGTGGCTGCACAGAAGTACAGAAAAATTTTGTAACGCTTATTTATAGTCTGCATCTGAATTAAATGCAATTACCATTACCAAAGTTCCAACCCCATAAATACGAATTGTTAAATAATTAACACGAAATAGTTTCAGTAAGTAATTTTTATCTAAAATAGACTACACACATTTTGTTTTCTTTTTAAACTATAAAATTTGGTATTATTTTTCTTGCTTTGGCACTGAATATAATCAAGATTTTTTCCAAAGTTATCTTATCAACTTTTAAAAATGTTACACTGAAATCATCTTCACGAATGCTTTTTCAAGTGCTTCTCAAAAGCTGCTGTACAAATATTAGCCATACCAATAACGATTCAGCAGCATACGCTAGTGGGTTGATTAAGAATTGATTCCGTTTTGCATAGATTTTTAAAGAGCGAAAAGGTTTCTTAAATTAGAGTATTCTGGGGACTACCTCTCTTATGCCCTTCTTCGAAAACAATTTTTTAGCATATGTTCCTACCAATATACTTATATGTTAAAGTACAATTTAAATTTAAGAATGGTATTAATGTTTATTTTCGTTTTTAATAATTCAGAAGATTTGGTATAATCTTTAACGTCCTAATTAAAATTTGGATGAAAGTTTGCACTCGTATAAGTAAGATAGATGAAACTGACGATTCTTACACCGCTGTTCTGTCTTCGTACGTATGTTGGTAATATTAAACACTATATCAAATGTAATTCGTAATTTTTTTTTTAAGGTCGCGATGAAAACACTGTGTCACGAAGTAGAAATAAAGAGAATAACAACTTTTAAAATACCATCGTACAGTTACGTCATTGTTATCATTTTGTTTTTCAGTTATCGCACTTTAGCGTTAAAATAAGTATTACTGCAAGAATGACACAGCTAAAATTCCTCGGTTGTTGGAATTGAAATAGTCAATTTTAAGGATGACAGAAAGAATGACGTTTTAAACAAAGTTATCTCCAGCAGCATCAATATATTGTTATCAAAAACATATGTTGATGTCATTTATACCACGTTTGTAAAAAATCATGTCTGGAAATTATGAAGTCTTCCACTGACAAAGAAATTAATCCATCATTGGCGCAATATTTCTAAATGTCATTCTACAATATTTCTCATTTTAGCAGCACTTAAGAAAAATGACTTAAATGCTTCAAAAATGGTAAATTGTTGGTGAAACGTAATTACAGTGGGGAGGATAAGGCACCATTTCGTATCCCTCAGTGTTGATCTGCTGTAGGGTTTAAACAGTTGTATGTGGTAGGGCGCCGAACCAGTATAGAAGTTAATGAAACTGATTGTCATGCCGATGCACCTGAATTCGAATCCAGGAGAAGGCATCTATGTTTGTAAATGTATAGTGGCTGTTCGGCATGGGACACTTTAAATATGCAGCAAGCCGAAAATCCTCTCGACACGACGATGGTAGGCGGAGAGGGGTGGGAGATCGTCGGACCGCCTCGTGATGTTCTTTCTCAAACCTGGAGTGGAACTGCGCAGTTAGTGCAGCGGGACTATACCTGTACGACCAATGGTGCATTTTTGGTGTCCCGCCCACTTCTACCTGTATGCGATGAGACGTTACCTTGATGCAAGATAACTTCACGTCTATTTACAGCTGCTAGTTGCTTAAGCATCTGCTCATATCTGTACAATACCAAGCTTCGCTTACCTTTTCAGCTCGCAGAAAGAATGAGTAGTGGATAACCTTTTAAGCGTGTTTCCCTCCAGACCACTGCGTTCACAACTGTCACAAAATACTTTTTAAGACAAGAGCATACTTCCAAACGTGTGCTTTGTTTACCAAAGTTCCTGAGGCACTTTGCCAAGCTACCTTACTTTGCCTGCCCTTGCAAAGAGCCGTTGAAACAGTCGAAAAACGTGCATTTAATGTTTGGGCGATTTCGTACAGTTTGCCGTGCATCTGTTTCGATTAAATTCTTTTTTCAGTTGAATCAATGGAGGAAGGATAATGTCCACGGGGTTCATTTAAGACTCGAATCCCATAGGCAAAATTTTGATAACCAAAGCGAGTGAATCTGGCATTAGTTGCTCCCCCAACAAACGCTTTCTTGATAGTCTTTGCAGCAGAATTTCTTAGTTTGAACTCACAAAGGTATAGCTACCCTTACTAACTAGGTTATATAGTTGAAATCGGTAATATTCAATATTTAATGCTCGTTTGATTAAACAAATACTACTATTGCATTACTGTTGTGTGGCGTTGCCACATGACAAAAGAAAATTATATAAACCTCAGCATCTGCTTTCTTCTGCCTGGCGTCATTCAATAGCCATTTAATTTGCACAATTCAATATTTTATTTGGTAAAATGTGAGAAGATAACTGTTCTTATACCTAAACAATTCTGATAAGTTTCGTAAAACCTCTGAGAATTATAATGACAATGATCTGAATTAAATGTGAAAAAATGCCTTTTATTACACAATAAGCAAGTTCACTGGAAAAGAAAAAGATTTTATTTGTTTAGTATAGTCACATGGAATTCATAAAATACAAGCCACAAGGATTAGGCATATAAAAATTTTCTGAATGACATTCGTTGAAAATACTTTGATAACAAATGTATAATGCAAGGCATTCTGAGGA